GCAGAGGACACTAACTATGTACCCCATCCTTACTAGAACAAAGAAAAGTCATTTAAATGATTTTCTGAAGGGCTGAATTCTTTCACAAACTGCTAGATGAAAAGGACTGCAAAACGAGTTGGAAAAAGAGTTCACAGACAAAAATGCAAGATCCCAATATTTCAACACAGAGTTCCCAAAGTAAATGGAAGAAACATAACTGTAGATAAAAAGTACTATATGGCTATAGAAAAAGGAACTAGAAAGAAAGGAAAGACAGTGACCCAAAGATTAATAGAGCCCTGGCTACACCCACCCGATTATGGCCCAGACCACAGCTCTCCTCCATAGCAGTTACTACAAGGATGAAATTAGCCATCACTTCAAAATACCAAAGTTTTTTCACAATAGGAATAGTCAACGGAAGAAGGGAGAAAGCAACTAGGGAAACCATCCCGTTTGTACACTCCATCCAAGTAAATGTCAAGAGATGAAGAGCACACAGTTCTAACCACCAATCTCCACCCTTATTTGTTTAAGCCAAGAAGATTTACAAGTTTGCTGTGACTTAAAGTTTATGTGTGCATGCACAACCAGAAACACTGCTGTGTTGTGTCAGCTTCCATGGTTCACAGTAGGGAAGGAATGCTTGGGTTACACCTCATGAGTATGGCTTCTCCGCGAAGAAAAGGTTTGTTCACCCCAATATGGTAGACTGCATGAGGGCTGAAAACCTGTGTGCTCTTGAGACAAGGCAGCTTGTGTAGTTGTGGCAAGAAAAAAAAAAAAAGTACCCCTCTTGTTAACCAAAACCACAAAGCCAACTTGTGTTTAACAAGAGTGCTATTTATTATTCATTGTCTGAAAAGAATAAGAAAATGTACTAAGCCACACCTGGAAAAGTCATGGCAGAGTGGCATGCCACAGCTTGACAGAGCACTACAAAAAGAGATCAGAAATAATGTGGGCCAATTTAAATCAGCCCACCTCAGGGTTGAGTACTCCATATTCCCCAAGCAGTGGCCTCTTACAGTACCACTTTCTCTAATAAAACCTTCTTAATAAACCCTCATAAACAACATGCTTAAAATATGCATTCATACTTAAGTGAGCTTCTTGTTGCATGTGTGCATGTATCTGTATATGAGCAAGTGTATGTTTTCGTGTAGTTTTCCCATTACTCCTTCCATTTTAGATCTAAGTTCTGGAAAACAGACCATATGTCTAACTTTTTTCACATTCTCCCAGAATCTAACCACAAACCTCCTGAGGTTGCAATAAGCCCTATTTACTGCTGATACTAGCAAGTTTTCAAGAGAAATTCATAGAAAGCCATGTTTTTTAAATGCAAGCCTTTCTGAAAGAGTCATGATCTATCTTAAGATTAATATGTAATATTCTCCCCCTCCCTTTTTTTTTTTTTTTGAAGGCAGAGAAAGCAGGGACTAGCAGAGTGGCTCAAGTGGTTAAGAGTGCCTGCCTAGCAAGCTTGAAGCCCTGAGTTCAAATCCCATGCCAGCCCAAAAACAAAAGAAAATTAAGGCAGAGAAAGCACTCAGCTCATCTTCAGCCGTTTTTTTTTTTTTTTTCCCAGTATTGGTGTTTAAACTCGGCCTGGAGCTTACAAGGAAAGCACTCTACCACTTGAGCCATACTCCCCAGTCCAATGTGAATATTCAATATCACCATGTTCAGAAAGACCCAAAAACATCACCAATACTGCGCAATACTGCGAGACAAAAAAGAGAAACATTACCAGAAGCCCCTGAGACCGTTATTAAAAACCACCCCAGAAATCCCAGGTCATGTTGAGAGCAACCCCATGCTGCTATCAACATGTGTTGTGATCTTCTACCAGCCTACAGCATAATTTTTTTCTATCTTGATTTTGAACATAATTTCAGTTATATTTGGGAAGTGGGAGGTTGCTTTTAAAGAAAAGCTACCCCTCATTATAAGACTATTTCATAGTTGTGAGATGCTGAAATTGTAGGAATTTCTGTACCAGGGCAAAGAGTCCTACATTAGGACAAATGGGTTCACCATGTTCTTGAGGTCCCCAACATATTTCTCCTTCAAGGCTGCACTTCTAAAGAGGAGACTAACTCCTAAGTATCAGCTTTCTGATTTGATGTTTTCTGGGGGAGACTAGAAAACTGATGTGAATGTACCTGAAGATCAAAAAGCAATCAAGTCTTACTGGTATTAATAAAATATCCCCTGGAAAAATGTAAAATTTGTAATCCTTACTCAAAGTATTTATGGCTAAATCACAATTATAAGATAGATCAAGAGGGCAGTTGCCCCATGAAGTGGGGTCAGGTTCCCTGATCATGTGGAAGATGGCACTGCTTTCTACAGCTACTGATACCCCAACAACCATCTAGAACTTTAGAAAGAAAAGGAAAAGCAGTGCCATCTGATACTCCAGGGCTCATGGCCAGCCTTGCCACCACAGATTCTTATGACAGATCCCCAGGCACAGAACTGTCTAGAGGGAACACAAGACCACCCTTCTTTGCTAGGATCAGCTGTAGCGTTGGTGGAAAAGCAGCCAAAATAAAAAGGCATCTACTTTTCAAAATTGTGCGTTGGACTAAGAGGGAAAACAACGGAACAGTGTTTTCTCTGCTGCATTCATAGTACAAACCAGCTGCATCAAAAATCACTTTCTAACTGAGAACCACATGAGAAGCACATCAAAGTTCATCTAGAATTAGTAAGGCAGAAAATCACTTTATAGGCAGCCCTTCAAATTAGAGAGACAAGCAGGGAATAGAAGGAGAGAGTGATACATCCATGTCCCACTTCAAGTCAGTGACCCAGTCAGGCCGCCACACAATTTCCAGATCCTGTTCCTTCCCCTATGCCACACTGACACTAAGGGCTAAGTACACACTTCAATACACAAAACTCACACAGTACATGCAAGCCTGTCAATGATAGAAGTCAATGATATCAAGCATTGACCTTACTTCTAATGGCTGTCACCAGGCTTAGTTTACACTAACATCATCTCCTCCTAAACAAATGAACATTTAAGGAGCAAAGTCATGCTGGCAGGATTATGTCCTGGAAAAGAAAGACCATCAAAACTCCTTCAAAAGCCAACATCTAACCCAAACATGGTAATTTTTGAAGCAATTTACTCTGATTCCTAAAAGGCTGGCTAAAGAACAAAATAATGTTATGACTGGTATTTATTTAATGTGAGTGAAAACCAAATCGAGAGTCAGTTAGTTTAGAGGCTGCACACAGGTCTCCCTTAAATGGTGTAAGCGAAGCTCAACACTTCCCACAGTTTGCAAACGCCAAAGATGAACTCAGAGCCTTGTGTGCATGTGGAAGTTGAAGGAACTGTCTGAACTCAGTGGAAGATTAGCCATTCAGAAGTTATTTTGGGCTTCTTAATTGGCTTGTTCCATCTCTTTGAAGAAAAGAATTCATCCTTCAGTTTATAAAAGGGAAAATAAAGACTCTTAACTCCAAAACAGACCGTATGTTCCAGTGCCTGACCTGGGCTGACAAGCTGTGACTGTCTTCTCAGTTGGCCACCCACCCTAAAGCCACCAAGTAAAAAGTCACATTTCCAAATGCTCCTTTGCTTCTAATAAAGTAATAAACTAAAAAGTTGTGGGGAGTATAGGCAACTGACGTTTAGTTTAAATCACCACTTCAAAATCAAGTTAAGTACCGTTAGAGTAGTATAGTGTTTTTACTTGCCAACACTCAACAGAAATTCTCTCCACAGAAATGAATGTATTAGAAAAGGTTCAATTTAATGAAAAAACTTCTCCTTTAAAAAAATTTCAGTTTAATGAAAAGATTTACTTTTCCAAATTAGAAGGTATATTTGGAAATGTATCAATTTTCTTCCCCAAAGGCATCCATCTTCCTACTTCTGTACTGAGAAAGTTCTAGTTTGTAACATCACATCAATCCAGCCAATGAAACAAAACACGTATGTTAAGACAAATTAGTCACGAATATCTCTGAGAAAAAGCTACAAGAGAACTGGAATGTTTTCCGGGCAGGGGAGGGAACCATCAAAATTTATGAGAAAGAATACTATGCCAGCAAGTCCACTTTATTGTACCAACTCTTAGGACCTATGGTCCATTGCGGGACGCGCCCTAACACACATGGCTCGCACACAGGGTGGGTGCACTTGCCCTGTTGTTTAGCGGAATGGAAACAGCTGGGTTGTGTCTCGGCACCTGCATCCTCACTGGCACCGAGCCCTTACCTTACCTTAAGGCAGACTTCAGGAATCAAACTCATTTCCCTCCTATCAACTAACCAGAAAACAACTGTTTCTTGCTCTCTGCATAGCTTTCCTCCTCCCATTTTACAATTCTAAGATTTGCTGATAAACACAAAGAATCTTTTTCCCACCATGGAGTAGGTGCTGTGGAATGACAAAGTAAGGAGGAAAGAGGATGTGGAAGCCAAGCCCACTGAAGTAGAAGTAAACACAGACCCACTGCTCTCAGTCAAGATCCTTTATTTCTACCACTGGTTAACGCTGTTTAAATCCTATGCTAAAACTTATCACTGGAAGAATTTAAATCTGTACTGCTTTTTTTGTTATAGAACATTTTCTTTGGTTCTTCCTAACTATTCAAAAACCAGAAAGTCTTATTTATGAGAACATTATCTAACAAATACTTATTTCAAAATATAACTGGTTTTAAAACTATCCTCCAAAAGAAAAAACTTCTGTGAAAAGCAGAAGATCACAAACCAAATCATAAAACTCCTATGCCTACCCATACTCACAACATCATTGTAATAGTCTTTTTCATCCACAGAGGGCACGTCCAGGACAGAGGTCACCATGCCACTTAATGACTCTGTTAGAGAAAAACTAATGTGGTTAGTAAGGCGTGCGGAACTTAACCTCAACTACATCTGAGTTTAAGAGTCTCAGTAAACACAGTTCTCAGTGTCTAGTATAGAAAGGAAAAAAGTGTGAGTACTATCAGAGAATGCCTAGCAGAAGGGAAGGTCAAATCACTCACCTTGTGCAAAGGGAGCACCAGGAATGCTCCTCCTCCACTCGCTTCTATGATTATGGCGACAAATCTAGGATTGACAGCGCAAAAGGAACTATCCCAGGTCACACGAGAAACCCGGATGTCATCATAGCACTGGTCATTTTTCACTGCTTGTCCAAATACATGCCGGAACTTGCTTTGTCGTACCACGCGCCTCATCGTGTCTGCAGAAGAAAAGTGGGAATTATGTTAGAATTACATACCAAACTGAAAGTTTAAAAGCTCCAAGTCAGGAAAATGGTATGACATTTTGTTCACTCTCCTAAAAAGTAGCCAAATCACAAGTCCAAATTTCCTGTAGCAACACATACCCAGAGAAACTGCAAAACAGATCAGGGAAAAAATTACAAAGAAATGAAAAAATCTCTACTTCAAGATCCAAAAACAGCTCATCAGTTTTAATTTCAAGAGAAAGATTAAAGCAAATAGTGAAGGAAAATCAGCCCTTTACAGATGGTGAGAACCAGCAATGATTCACTCTAAGCTCTTCCCATTTTAAAGATAAGAAAACCCCAAAGTGAAGTTATCTGCTAAATGTGAAGCTGAACAAAGCCCATAACAAGTTATGACTGGTGTGACTTTCACCTCAGTCTGCCAAAGAAATTTTTCAGTTTTTAAACATTTCCCCTGGACATCAGCACTCTGCTAAATGAAAACTGAGCCTGTGCCCCAGAGTGTGCCTATAGACCAACTATGAGTAGTGGCGAGTTCAACAGACAGAAGCAACAACCCTGTCTTCAAGAGCCTTCTAGCCTCCTTTTAAGATAAGCAAGATAATCAGAGCAACTCACTACAAACTGTTCAGCCTAAGTGCCATGTGAAGAACCAGGAAAAATCAGCCTGAGGCTGTCAGGTAGGACAAAGCCAGGTCTTAGGAAAAAAAAAAGAGAACTATTTAAATGGAAACGGTGTGACCAAAGTCAAGTGAGGGATGACAGTAAATCTAGCTGCAGCATACTGGAGGGATTAGACAGGAAGAAGCTAAACCAGGTACTGGACCAGGAATCATGTAAACCAAGCCTGGAATGACATGGTAGTAGCAGCTGGACAGAGGAAGGGAAAAATGTGGGGACTATTCTGGAAGAGAGATGAAACCAGGAGGGATTTTTAGGTCAGAGTTGATCATTCACCCCAGCCACCTGCAGAGTGGGGGGAAGGGAGGCAGGGGCCCAAGGGGAGGCTTCCTTGTGGGTAATTTCAGACTCCAAATCCCACTAGACTGCCAGATAGACATGTGCACTAACAGCTTTGTGCTTTAGGGTCACCAGGCCTCACCTAAGATTTTCTAGACTGTACTTGATTTGATTTTTCCAATCTGCTACGTTAAGACATTCTGTTCAAACTGGTTAGAATAGAAAGAACCTGGATAAAGCCTAAGTGGAACTGGAACATGGTCAAACCTTGACAACTGAGCTGAAAAGCAGATCACCATGAACAGAAGAGGGCTAACACCTGTTCACTCAAGCCAGGAGAGGCACATGGTGGGCTAATTGCTAATTCCTCTAATTCCCATCTTCATTGCACTGGACCCACTGATAAATGCAGAGAGAATTTATTTTTTACCAGAGCCTCCTTCTACCCTTACAAGGATGTGTAAAAGTGGTCTCTCTCCAACACTGGGGCATGCAGCTGGGCTGAGGCAACAGACTCTTGGCAGGAGAGTACGGAGAACACCGAACTCCCCTCCCCTCAACTCCCCCTGCTGTGGTTTCCAGATCTTTCCAGCGGGAGTATACATTTTGAGTATCTGGTAGAGGAAATGGCAAATGATATGCTTACAGTTGGTCAGGCTCCTTCATTTGTGAAACAGTATGAATTCTTCAAGTGTGAGTTAGATAAAACAATTTCCATGGGATGGCAAAAAGGAAAGTACATCCAAACAAAAGCCAGTGTACAGCCAGCTGATATCAGGATCCATCTCCCTATACAACCATTTGTACAAGTCAAAAAAGCTGCAATCCCCACCAGAATCTTCTAGCAAGTGTTTAAAAACTAAGTCAATATGGAAGAAAAAAAGAACAGCAGTATGTTAATCATATCCTTCATATTTAAAAAATTCTTACAAATTCATACAACTAAAACCCAAGAAAATTAAGCCACGGACTCTTGGAGGTAATTTACACAAGAAATATAAATGAGAGTTATCACTATTCTTTCCCCAAATCCTATGACAGTGACAGTAAAGTAATAAAAGTAGGTATAAACACCAAAGGACAAGAGAACAGAAGAATGCAAGAGGAAAAATTCAACAACAAAACCTTGGAAGATGAAAAGCTGTCATGTATGTGTTACTGACTGAAGTGCAGGTGTCTTCCACTCAGGGTCTCAGGAGGAGTTCACCAGGACACCAAGGCCCACTGCACTCAGAAAAGAAAATGTATGTCTCTAAAGAGAGGCAGGGAGTGCTCAGAGAACTGACTGGAAGCTTGAATTAGGAGCAGCTACACACCCAGATGCCCTTTCTCCAGGACTGCATAACCAGAGAACTGACCTGCAGAAGCCAGGAGAGGCCAGATGGCAGCAGTGACAAAATTAGGTTCTGTACAATGGGACCACCAGGTCTTTAGGCCTCCCAGCTCCCACAATGCCAAGATACCACCTTCCACTCCCCAAGTGTCAGGTCAGCATTTAGAGCCTTACCTTTAAATGTGAATGGACATTAAAGGAAGGCTCTAACTTGAAAAATAGGACAAGTTTTCCTCTTCATTCAAAAAAGTTAAACAACATCTAACCTCATAACAATACGAAGATTTAAAAATATGTAAACTCCTTTGTCTTCTTTGAAGTATAGTATACAAATCTGCTGTCTTACTAAAATACCTTAAAAAGTCATTTCCACATTATGCATAGTGACAACTATTTTCATCCTAACCACATCTGAGCAGAATAATAAAGAAGTTCTTTTACAACAGTCCTGGAGTAGAATGTTAGCTGCAGAGGAGAGAGGGAGGGAAAAGCCAGTGCTTCCACAGTGCTGTCCTGAGTCAGCATGCTAAAACAAGCTTGAAGGGCAGTGTGAGCCCATTCACATCCAAAGTCAACCCTGATCTGGGCTCTAATGTCCACATATGACACCACTGATTTTGCTCCACAGAATGTCTCAGGCCCTCCAGCACACATAGAGAAGGGCAGTTATGAGAATCAGACAGCCTGGTGAGTGAGAAGCATGGCTGTACCACTTACTTCTTGGCCATGGTTCACCAGGGCAAGCCTCTGTCAGTTTCTCTATCTAGAAAAAGGTACAATGCATATAAAGTTGAAGTGAACATTAATTGAGCACCTGGTAATGGGACAGTGGCAAGAGATTACTATGTTTTGCTATCCAGTAATGTCAGACACACAAAACTACTCAATAAGTGCCAACTATTGCTATCCTCATAGTTGACATAAAATAAGCCAGATTCAAATTCTAGCTCTACCACTTGCTAGCAGCTACTTGACCTCTCTGAGCCTTAGTTTCTTCTTCTATAAAATGAAGGGAATGATACCTAAAACAAGATTTTAAACCAACATCTGACAAAGAAAGCCCAGGTCTAAATGGTTTTACCATTAAAGTCTACAAAACATTTAAGCAATACCAATTCTTTCAAAAAAAGAAGGAACACTTCCAAACTAATTGTATGAGGCCAACATTATACTGACATAAAAAACAAAGCCATCACAAGAACTACAGACTAGTCTCTTATGAAGATGGATGCAAAACTCAACAGAATACTAGTAAACCAAATCCAGCAACACTCAAAAGAACTACACACATGACTAAGTAGGATTTATTCCAATAATGCAAGGAACCTTAGTTCAACATCTAAAAATCCATTAATTTAACCCACCACACCAATAGAACAAAAAGCAAAAATCACAGTCATCTAAGACAATAAATTTAACACACACTACCATGATAAAATATGCCTCAAACTAGGAAATTCCTTAATCAGGTAAAGGGTATCAATGGAAACACCAGATCTACCACAATATTCAATGGTAAAGATGCTTTTTCCCCTAAAATGAGGAACCAAACAAGGACGTGTACTTTTTTCCTTTTGTGGTGCTGGGGTTTGAACTCAGGACCTACACCTTGAGCCACTCCACCAGCCCTTTTTTGTGATGGGTTTTTTTCAAGACAGGGTCTCTTGAACTATTTGCTTGGGCTGGCTTGGAACCACAATCCTCCTGCTCTCTGCCTCCTGAGTAGCTAGGATGACAGGCATGCGCCACCAGCACATGGCAGGATATGTGTTCTTACCACTTATATTTGGAACTGTACTGCAGGTTGTAGCCAGGGCAATTAGGCAAGAAACAGCAATAAAGACAGTTCAGACTGGAAAGGAAGGAAAACCGTGGCTCCCCCAGATGGCACTGCCATAGCCTTAGAGACTCCCATGAAATTCAGTAAAAGAAAGCAGATGTAAGATCAAGATATGAAAACCAATTCTGTTGCTAAACATTCCTAACAAACCATCCAAAATGATATTAAGAAATAACTCCACTCACTACAGCGTCAAAAAGAATATTAAGAACATACTTGGGAATAAAGGTAACTAGGGAGACTTGCATACTAAAACTACAAACACTAGCAAAAGAAACTAAAGAAGAAATAAATAAATGGAAAAACATCCATGTTCAATGACAAGACCTAACATTATTAAGATAGCAATATTCTCCAAATTAAGATACACATTCAATGCAATGCCTGTCAGAGTTTGAGCTGAATGCCTCATAAAAATTGGTGAACTGACTCTAGAACTTGGTAGCTACTTGAGAGGCTCAGATTTCTCAAGTAGCAGCCTTGAGGACTGCAGCTCAAGGCTGGCCCAGGCAAAAAGTTCATGAGACCCCATCTCATGAGTATGCAGTGGCATTTGCCTGTCATCCCAACAACAGTGGAAAACAAAATAGATAAGGATCATGGTCCAGGCTGGCCTGGGCAAAAATTGAGACCCTGTCTCCCCAATAAACAGAGCAAAAACAGCTGGAGATATGGCTTACATGATAGAGTGCCTGCCTAGCAAAAGCATGAAGCCCTGAGTTCAAACCCCAGTACCACCCAAATAAATAAATAAATAGATAAAAATGTAAAACTTGAACTGGGGCATGCCTCAATGGTAGAGTACTTAACTAGCAAGTACAAGGCCCTGAGTTCAATCCCTAGTACCACAAACTAACT